ACATTTAGTGTCGCATTATCAAGTTACGACTGTACTTCATCCAACCCTTCAATATGTTGCATGAAACTAGAACAGAGCTTTATCCTCTTTAAATCTTCAACCATGGTTCTGTATTATTTACAACACTCTCCTGTACAAAAGCCCTCTCTCTCATCTTTGTTTTATAATCCATATGTGCAGAAAGTCTTTCACACAGCACATCATTTTGTTGTATTACTGTAAGCTAGAAGGACAGTCCTTTGAATAGAAACAATAGAGAACATATATAAGCTCCTCCAGCAACACGAAGAGAAAAAACAAGCTCCATAGGGGGAGTACAGTGTCTGATGGGAGGACAAAGAGATGCAATGAATAGAGAGAAAAAGCAACTCACGGCAGTCGGACTCATCAGATTTGTCCTTGCAGTCTGGATCTCCGTCACACTTCCACGTCAGCCGCACACACTCCCCGTTGGCACAGCGAAACTCCCCCGCTGTGCAGTTGGCCCTGCGGTTCAGCAGGTACGGGACCCCGTCGCCGCCGCAGCGTTCAGGCCCCTCATCCGAGCTGTCGGAGCAGTCGGGGTCTCCGTCGCAGCTCCACATGAGCGGCACGCACTCGGAGGTGTTGCAGCGGAGGTGGTTGGGCCCGCAGGTCAGGGGGGACGAACACTTGAGCTCGTCGCTGCCGTCTCCGCAGTCGTCGTCGCCGTCGCACACGTAGACGGTGGCCAAGCACTTGCGGTTGGCGCACATGAACTCTCCGCTGGGGCAGGCCTTGGCATCTGGAGGACGAGCAGAGAGAATGAAAGTCAGACACAAGTTTGAAGGGCAAACGAGCGACTGCATGATCTGCCTTGATTACAATGGAGCAGGAACAGCAGCCAAGTGCGTTTGGGCCGAGAGCCTGCCATGCCTCTTGAAGCAGCACCTTAAAGCTCGACTCAAGTTTACTACTGATCACATCTACAAAGAAAAGGCCTTCTGGAGAAGAGTTCTGTTGTCAGATTAAACAAAAATGGAGCTATTTTAGCCACAACGACTGACAAGAGACCAAACAGAAGGTGAGGCCCAAGAACATTCTACCTACCAACAAGCATGGCGGGGGTAGTGTTATGCTCTGGGGCTGTTTGGTGCCATTTACACAAAGTTAATGGACCAATTAAGGAGGATTACTTCCAGGGCTAGACCCGAATAGCCGAATAGCCGACAATTCGTTCGCTGTGCTGGAATTGGGATATCAAGTTTGATCTCTAAATATTCCCCTTAACTTTTGTTCATGACTGTGTATATATTGAATTCCGAAAACTGCTGAAACTACTCAAAATGAATCCAAACTGAAATTAAGAATTTTAAAAAACAAAAAAAATAAACTTCAGGGTTTCCATTTTATGTTCACAGCGAACAGAACAAAAGTTTCCGGACTGGCTACGGCCGTAAGTAGATGAGAGGAAGAAAAAACCAGAGGCTTATTGGTTTGAATTAATTTCAAACAGATGGGCTCGGAGACAGAAATGGAGTTTCTCAGATAGGCTAAAAGTCAACAGTGGAAACGTAGCTGAGACAAAAGGAGAGCCGGAGACGTAGTTATCTCAGGGAAGATGATGAGAGGCTTCCTCTCCGACAGAGCGAAAGATAATAGAGCTCCCTCTGCCATCCTCCTGCTCTCGGTGATGGATCTCTATCGCGGTACTTTTTCAAAACATCTCTGTCTTTCTGGTGCTTCTTCTCGTCTGCTCCGGCACTCCTGTCTGTTAGCAGCAAAAAGACATCAAGAGCTCCGGCTTTCAGAAACAAACACTCATCAAGATGTTTGCTCTTTTGAATTCCTTTCACTCGACTTCTGTTTCATTGATTATATCATTTGGAATAGTTGGCACAATAGTTGCACAATAATAAGCTTATGTCGTATAAAAAGCTGAGTGTTGGTGTCAGTAAACAAATCAGTCTAAACTCACAGTCACAGCACTGTTCTAGGTGAAAAAACAACATATTTGCATGATGGTCTTGTTCTTGTACACATATTAAAATACAAATACCAACACATCCCAACAACTTCCCTGAGGTACCCCACCAAAGGGATCAATATAGTTCTATCTAATCTAATCTAATCTAATCCTGACCAGCCACACTGACAACTATAACCAACATGACTAAGTTGTGATCCAATTAGAAATGCTCAGTGGTCCGACTGCTATAGAGGAAAGTCTTTCACTTCATCCCGTCTCTGCCGGGGCCTTCAGACTGTGTGTACGATGTTGTAAAAATGGTCCGTTTAAAGTCAAAAGGTCACATTTGTTCAATCTGATATTCTACCCAACAAAGCTGGGACGCTATAAATGTAGATATAAATACAGCCATAACAGCAAAACCACAGACAGGTGGAGGGAATTACAAAGTTCTGCTGGGAAGCCTTGAGTCCTGGATATCACATATTGCTTTGACGTGTACCACCCACCTAAACACCAGCACAGACCAAGAACACCCCCCACATAGCAAAAGCATTCCACAAGCAGGACAATGTGCTCCACCACATGACAAAAAAGGCTCGAGGAACACAACAAAGAGCCCAAAACAAACGCAAACATCCAGAACAAATACGTCCCGTATAGATCTGGAATAAGCCTGATCCACAGAGACCCCACCCCACAACACTCAGGGCCTAAAGGACAGGCTGCCAACGTTCTGGTGGTAAATCCAGATGTCTGGTACCAATGGCCCGTTGGGTCAGAGCTGTCTTGGTGGACGAAAGAGGAACAATATTGGGTCCCATTGTTGGAGCTGATGTGTATATATAGTGTTAAACAGCGAAGCTAAACAATGGTTTGAAGTCTGAAGCTGGCAAGTGGTGTGACAGAAACAGACCAGATGAATTAATAGAAAACCAAGATAAGGTTTCTTAGTAAGGTGTTCACCCACTATAACTGCACTGATTCTCCAACGTTTCTGGAACTCTGCTGGAGGCACGAACACTATTCCCTATGAAAGATGCTCCACCATTTGGTGTGCCAGCAAAAATCTCTGCTAGGTGTTCAGCTGGGTTAAGATCTTGTCATGACAAAGGCCACAGAACATGATTCACATCGTTTTCATCAAACCATTCAGTCACCCCTCAGGCCCTACAGATGGGACCATTTTCGTCCTGGAAGAGACCACGCCCACACGTAATCACAGGAGACAGGTGGTCACTCAGAACAACTTTGATTTGCAGTGACCTTTCTCAAGTGCACCAAAACCATGTCACCAAAACGCCCCCTACAGCATAAAGGAGCCACCAGAACGCCTCAGTGTTGCGGTCAAAGGTCCAGCTTTCTCTGTTTATTTGTCACCCACATTTATATGACCTGAAAAACCTTAATTTAACACATTTTAAGGTATAAAAAATATCAAAAGCAACTATCATTGTCCTTAAAAATGTGATATGAATATGTGAATTCCACAAGAGGTCGAGGCCTCGGCTGGAGGTTTGCTACTCGGCTCTACGAGGCTTGTTAGGTGTTTGTTCATCTGGTGCTGCTAAAATACAAGCAACTGCTATATTTATGTATATATGGTATTACACATTTTCTAAGATGTTTGAGCTTCACTACTGAATGTTGAATTATAGGAAAAATGTTGGAATAACATGCAAACAAGCTTTAGCTCGGGCTAGTTGTGGCTACTTCTGTGATAAACAGATTTAATTTGCACATTTCTATGGCATCATATTGTAGTTAAGTATGTAAGTTACTAAAGTCCTGTTCTTGACCAAATTCTTCACCTCATACCTCGAAATGACTTTTTTTCTGTTCCTAAATAAAATGGTTTCTTTCCAGGAAGTGATGGTTTGCTCTTTGTCCTCTCCTTTTTTTATTTTTTTTTATTTTACAAAGCAAACATCAAGGCCTTCCTGAACCCTTTTCTCTCTGCCCCTTCCTTTTCCAGCTCTTTCTCTATCTGGTCATGTCGAGCTGAAAGCCTGTGAGGAGAGCCGGACGTCCTGCTGTGAGCCCATAACGGCACAGAGGCCGGCGTGGGGAGAAGAAGAATTTGATATTTACGCAAACCGCAGGGAGTTCGGCTCCGACGCCGCTGCCTACGGCTGTTACGGACGGTTACCGGAGAGGATTGCTGTTCTGCAACGTTTTACACAGAATCAGCAAATTGCAAAGCTGTAGCGTATTGCCATCGACCTGCAGCAGAAACCTCTAATCAAGTATCAGCCTCACACATCATTTCTAACTATTACAGATACTTAGATCAGAGCAGGGGTCAGTATTTAAATAGCTGCTGAACACATCAAACAGAATATATCTGAACGGATATCAGAGGAATCAGCATTTAACCACCATTAAACCCAATGATAGTCAGTGGGCTGCTAAACACTACAAGCACACGGAATCCACATCAGTTTATATCAGAAAAAAAAGACAAATGTAATATTATAGTACACTGTATAAATATAATACAAAAAACATAATAATAATAATAATAATAATAATAATAATAATAATAATAAATAAATAAACAAAATAAAATAAAATAAATCTGTAAAAAAAAATTTTTTTAAAAAGCACAATGAAACTCTGGCAGCAAGACTCCCACAAAAATATGCAGAAAAATAATAAAACAAAATTAAAGTAAAAAAAATCAGTTAAAAAAAAAAAAAGCACACAATTAAAATCTGGCAACAAGAATCCCCAAAAAAATATGCATTAAAAAAAAAATAATAATAAAATTAAATAAAATACATCAGTAAAAAAAATTACAATTACAAAAAGAAGCATAATGAAAATCTGGGCACAAGAATCCAAGAAAAATAGGCTGAAAAATAATTAAATTAAACTAAATTAAATTTAAATAAAATAAGTCTATAAAAAAACCCAATAAAATCTGGCAGCAAGAATCTCGGAAAAATATGCAGGAAAAATAATAAAATCTAATTAAATTAAATTAAATTAAATCAGTTAAAAAATTAAAAAATAAAAAAACACAATGACAATCTGGCAGCAGGAATCCCAGAAAAATATGCAGAGAAAATTTTCTATTTATAAAAATACAGATTGTTTTTGATGGATGCATCGTTTACAGTTGTGGCTTGATTTTTATTTGTTTTGTTTTACAGTCAACATAAAAATTCATTTATTCATTTATTTTTACTAGTTATTATCTGTAGTTTAACAAAATGGAGAAAATCCATAAAACAACAGTTACTTGTTCAAAATGTTCATTTTTTACAGTGCAGAGTGCAAAATGATGAACATGGCGAGCGCCGCGTGCCAAGGATAACTGGGTGAACGTATCCGAAGCTCATAAACATCAGATCGGGCGATAACGTTCTATTTACTATCCTGTGTAATTACACCATATGCTACAATCAGTCTTTCTTCCTGTGCAAACATCAGTGCTTTTAATTAATTCACTGGTACCGTCGTGATTGCCGGAGAAGCACGCGGAAAGCAGCCGAAATGAAAACAAGTGTCGCGGATCGAGTTCATTAATATTAGACAAGCTGCATCTGATTCTGAAGTGTTTCGTAACTACTGCCCCTGCTACCCACACTCTATACTAATTCGGCACTAAATAATTAAGGAGATCCAGTAAACATGTGCATTATTACACGAGGGGAAGCCCATTAGTAACATACATGAGTGGCCTGGTTACAGTGGAGAGAGAATTTGTTTTCCAGTGGGAAAGCCGAGCAAATGAATCTCAAGACTTTCTGAGCAACTTTGAGCCCACAGACCATCTGCCGATAATGTTTTACGAGTCAGTGGGTTTTAAGTGATAAATAAGTCACAGAGGG